AAGGCTCTGAGATAGCTAGACAAACTGCCCACCATTGAGTCTCCCCTCCCCCACCCCTGTGTTTTTTTGTTTTGTTTTTGGTGGCACTGAGGTTTGAACTCAGGCTTTACGCTTGCTGGGCAGGTACTCTTACCACTTGAGCCACTCCACCAACCACCCCTGTGGTTTTGTTTTACTATTTTTTTAGGGACAAGGTCTCCCAGCTATGTTGTCCACACTGGCCTGGACCTCCTGGGTACAAGCCATCCTCCACTTATATGTTAATTTATTTACTCCTAAAGTGTGAGCCACAGTGTCAGGTTTAATTTTTTTGTATTTAAATCTGGGTGAGGTGGTTCACAGCTCTAATCCCAGCTACTCAGGATGGAAGTTTGGAGGATGGTAGTCCAAGGTCAACCCTGGCAAAAATGGGAACACCCTATGTGAAAAAAAAAAAAAAAAACTAAAGTAAAAAAGTCCGGGGGGTGTGGCTTAAGAGGCCCTGAGTTCATTAAAAGCCCCCATCCCCTATGCCAAAGAAAGCTGATGAAGGTCTTTTGCTCATTTATAGTGTACTTCTTGAGCTATATATGTTTCTGGCCAAGAAAAGCAGTAATGGGTAGTTATGTTTTAACTTGTTTTGAATTAAACCAGCAACTTCATCTGGGCTTCTGATCACAGAAAGTGATGTTTCAAGTAGCTGGAAAAACTGGAGCATTAGAACCTCAAAAGAGAGGTTGAATATGTACACAAAACAAAGTATGCTGTATTTTCTAGATAATTTCAGGAACCAAGAGTAAGTTAGTTTTTATACCATACTAATGTTAAAAGATACTCTCTAAGAATATGAGGGCTAGGAGTATGGCTCAAGTGATAGAGTGCCTGCCTTGCAAGCATCAGCCCTGAGTTCGAAGCCCAGGTCTGCCAAAAAACCTCAAAACAACAATAATGAGCATGTGGGGGCTGTTTGTTGTGGTGCATGCCTATAATCTTAGCTTCTTATGAGGTGAGAGCCTGAGGATTTCTGTTTGATGCCAAACAGCAAAATGTTAGTGTGATTCAACTCAACCAATAAGTTGGAATGGTGGTGTGCGTCATATAATCTCACAGGAGATATAAGTAGGTGGTTCAAGGTTGGAGCCTGGCCCTGGGCAAAACCTTGAGACTCTTTGAAAAATAACTAAATCAAAAGGGCTGGTGAAGTAGCTCAAATGGTAGAGCATCTAGCAAATGTGAGGTCCTGAGTTCAACTCTCAGTGCTGCCAGAAGAAAAAAAGAGAGAACATGACATCTGTTAAGTCTTTCTGGGGGATGGGTTGGAGATTGAACCCATGGTCTCATGGGTGCTAGGCAATCCACCATCGAATTATGTTTCCAGTTTGCTATAGCTTGATAAATTGCTAAAATATTTTTGATCTGTTTTATTAACATTCTTCTCACAGAGTGGATTTTATATTCTCATTTTATCATTGAGACTTGGACTTGCTGAATCAACTTGCTCAAGGCTTAACAATCTAAGAAGTGACATCACTTAGATTTAAATGTTCTGAAGAAAAAGAATGAAAATTATGAGAGTAATAACCTTACTTTAGGTTGAGTGATTAGGTAGGAAAGACTTCTCTATGAAAATAATGATAAAGGTGAGAACTAAAGAATGTGAAGCTATAAGCCAGTTAACTATGTTGGATCATGGTAGAGAAGAATCTTGCAGGTAGAAATCACAGCATGTATAAACCCTTTGAGATAGATGGATGAGATGAAATATTTATTTTATTTATTTTTCTTTTGTGAAAGAACCTAAAGGTTGCCAAAAGTGGGCTGTTGAGAGTAAGAAAGTTGCTTAAAATGAGGCTGAAGAAATGGCAAATTTAAAGTAACATTCAGGGCCTTGGAAGGTGTTAGAAAATTGTTGGAAGGTTTATTTAAAGGGGATTGATTTATAATTTAAAAGATCTTTGCAGCTAAATGGAGAATGGTTGGGGATACAGATAGCTAAATAAAAAGGATGACAGTATAGGTCAGTGGTAGAGCATTTGTATAGTATGTGTGAGGTCCTGGTTCCAGGGCAGTGTAAAAAACAAGAAGGATAATAGTCATTTGGACTAGATTGGTACTGATGGCAATGAATGTGAATATATTTTAAAAACGAGCATTTTAGAATTGACAGGACTTAATATGTTAAATTAGGATGTAAAAGGGAAGTGAGGATTACTGTGAAAATAGTAGTGAGAAGTTGGGAGAGGTGATATAGATAATAGAATAAAAGCTTATATGTGGGCTAGGAGCTGGTGGCTCATACCTGTAATCCTAGCTGCTCAAGAGGCAGAGATCAGGAGGATTGCTGTTCGAACTATTTTGGGAGACTCTATCTCAAAAACCCATCACCTAAAAGGGCTGGTGTGTTGTCTCAAGGTGTAGGCCCTGAGTTCAAATCCCACTACCGCAAAACAAACTTAAAGGTGAAAAGATGCTTTGAACATAGTAAGTCTGCGAATAATGAAATAGGATATTTATTAGACAAGGTTTTTTTTTTATTATGATCTAAATAGGAAGTATTACACACTATTTAACAACAGAGACTGGAAAAGATCAGCTGGAGAGTGGACAAGATATGTGATTGAATATTGGTTAAGTTCTAACATTTATAGATTATACAAGATGAGAAATCACCAGTGAACCTGAAGACAGGAAATAGGAAAAATGTGTAAAGAGTAGCATAGATGGAAAGATATATAAAGGTGATAGTGATTTGGTGTGTTCAGATCTAGTTAGTGTTGTGGGAATGGTCAGTACTTACTCTTCAGGCACCTAACTCTTTCTTTGCAGGTCTTTCTTCTCCTTTGCTTCTTCCATGGTGCTCCCTACTTCCATTATGCAATACTACAATTATCTGTTAGATTATCTTGTGTATGTGTTTCCATGAGATCATGGAGCTCAATTGTCTAACGTAAGCCCTGTGGTTTCAGTGCCTGGCATAATGTCCTGAACCAGGAATATCAAAGTAAATAACTGGACTGACTGAATGAATGAATAAAGTATCACTTTGGATTTTAATATCAATAAGTTTTTATATATTCAAAGAATGTAAGAATATTTTTGCACAGTATTTTGGAAAGAGTCTATAAAGAGGAAACTAAAATAAAAATCTGAATATCGTTCATGTGAACCTGTGCAGAAAAAATACATTATATAGTGGTGGGCTGTTCTGGGATGGAGGTGAGTGGATCTGTGAACACATACAAGGGATTTAACTTGAATATTCATGTCTTTTAAAACATAATGAAAACAAATAGGAAGAGTTTAGCAATTTTTTTTTTTTTTTGGTACTGGGGCTTGAACTCAGGGCCTACACTTTAAGCCACTCCACCAGCCCTTTTTTGTGATGGGTATTTTTGAGATAGGGTTTCAGGAACTATTTACCTGGGCTGACTTTGAACTGTGGTTCTCCTAATCTCTGCCTCCTGAGTAGCTAGGATTACAGGCATGAGCCACCAATGCCCGGTTATTAATCATTTTGATGAAAATCCATAATCCCAAATCTATAATATAAAAATTGAAAAACAGAAAATGTCTAAGGAATAGCTCCTGCCACCCCAGTGATAACTGCTAGTAGTATTTTTGTTGTATTTGTTTTCAGTCTTCTGTATATGTTGCATTGCATATTCATGTAGCTACTAGATTATGATCAGACAGTTTGTATTCTACTTTTATTGTATCATTTCAAAGCTACTGATTTTTAACTATTGAAATGCAGTATGTACAGAAAAGTTACATGTCAATTTTTCAAACAGAATACACTTGGATCAAACAGCAACCATATCAGGAAGTAACCTTTATTAGCACCTTTGTGGCACACCTGTTATTCCAAGTACTCAGAAGGCTGAAAGCAGGAACATCACAAATCCAGCCTGGGCTACATAGTGAGACCCTATCTCAAACAAGACAAACATAAAACCCTGCTTTGGAAACAAACCACCAAGCTGTTTCTCTCTCTCTCTCTCTCTCTCTCTCTCTCTCTCTCTCTCTCTCTCTCTCTCTCTCTCTCTCTCTCTCTCTCCCTCCCTCCCTTCCCTCCCTCCCTCCCTCCCTCCCTCCCTCTCTCCCTCTCTCTTTCTGTGTGTGTGTGTCTGTCTGTCTGTCTGTCTGTCTGTCTGAGGTATTTTAGAGGTAGGGTCTCTGTCTGTAGAACTACTTCCTTGGCTGTCCTCAAACTGTGATCCTCCTGATTTCTGCCTCCTCCTGGAGTAGGTAGGATTATAGGTGTGAGCCACCTGTGCATGGCAAGCTATTCATTTTTATTGATATAGTATGTATCTAACTATGTACTAGATAGATAGAACAGCTGCATAGGGAAGTTATTACTGAAAAAAGGAAATAGTTGCAGCAGAGAATATTGTTTTGGAGCCACTGCTGCCAGTGTAGGTTAAGAATGCTGGTTAGAGCTGGGCACCAGTGGCTAAAGCCTGTAATCCTAGCTACTCAGTAGGCAGACAGAGAGATCAGGAGGATTGAGGTTCAAAACCAGCCTGGGCAAATAGTTCACGAAACCGTATCTCAAAATCCATCAAAAAAGGCTTGGCAGAGTGGCTTACGGTATAGATCCTGAGTTCAAACCCCAGTAACACAGGAAAAAAAAAAAAAAAGCTGGTTAGGATAAATGGAAAGTGTAGTGGTATGCAGACAAATCCAAATATCCAAATATCTTGGGAATTCATCATCATATTCCTTCAAGTTCATTAACGGAAGTCTTGGGATATAAGGTTTGGGACCAAGTTACGAAGAATGTTTTGTACAAGTCAAGAAATGGAACAGTAGTGAGGTTCTTTGGATTTGTTGTTTTAATCTGTATTTATGATGATGCATACCTGCAACCTCAGTGCTTGGGAGGCTAAGGAAAGAGGATCTTGAGTTTGAAGCCAGGCTGGACTATGTAGCGATACCCTGTCTGACCAATATAAAAATCAGTAAATAAAAACATATATTTACAGGAATTTAAAACGTATTTTTTTGTTTGTTTTCAGGCACATAAATCTCTGAATTTTGTTTCAACACTGCTCCAGATTACTATGTCAGAGCAACTGGATTTACCTGTAAGACAGGCAGGCAAGTTTTTAAAATTATTTTCTTGATTGTATATAAATATATTGTTTAAAAGGTTTGTAAATTGAATAGCTGAAATATCTTGGGGTATTTAGTATTTTTCTTCCCTGAGAACTCATTTGTCTTTGGTGTTTAAAACAAACAAAAGCCTTGATAAGTTGGTGGTATAGTAGAAAGAATACTTTGTACTTACTTGAATTAAAAGAGAAGCTGCAAAAAAAATGAATAGGATTTATTTGAATGACTATGTAGTCTCAGTTTTCTTCCATGATGGGTGATTCTCACACACAAACCTCTTTGTTTGAATAGTTATTTTTTGCTTACTATGTCTTAGTTCCTATTCAACAAGATGTTGAGCAGTTCTCTTTCTATCAAAGTCTAGAAAATGTGGTAGACTGCTTTTGAATATTACCTCTTAGTCTACAAAATAATGGGAATTCATACTTTTAACTCCTTGATTGCAGGTATATTAATTTTGTCATAGGAAGTATTAAGTACCAATTTCACTGTTGTAGAAAAACATTTTTTATTTTGTGCTACTCTTTTTCTTGATGCCTGTTTTGTTAAATTTTCTTGCTCATTTTACTTAATGTTGTCTAATAAACATTTTTCTTAAAAATTTAGTGGGCAATTTTGTTTTTCTTCCAAATTCGTATTTTAATGATTAAATAATTTATAATGTGCAGGTGCAATGAACCATTTTTCATTTGTTAGGAATAGAATTTAGTTTTAGTTAAATGTGTTTTGTTTATAGTTGTATTCCCAGGGCCTAAAATACTGCTTGACATACTGTAGGTATTCAGGAATGCATGAATATAAGTCGTTTATGATTTTTTTTAAAAAAAACCAGCTTCTTCTACTTAGTACAGTAGTGGGACATTTTGTACCAATATAATACAGTAATTTTTACTGGACCAAATTCAGCAGTAAATTTTTTTCTGCATTTGTAATTTAATAGGACATGATCTCTGATTATTTAAATCTCTCTGTTTGTGATATTGGGTTTGAACTCAGGGTTTCATGTTTGCTAGCCAAGTGATCTACCACTTTAGCCATGCTCCAGCCCTCTCTTTTATGTTTTTTTTTGGGCAGTACTAGGGCTTGAACTCAGGTTCTCACACTTAATTAGGCAGGGGCTGTACCACTTGAGCTACTCTGTCTCTCTTATAGTGATTAGAGGTGAAATCGCTTTAGTTTTCTTTTACCCTTCCAGCTGCTGGTTATTAGAATTTTATTAGAAACTTCACATATTTGTGGTTTATGTGTGTTAAGGTTTAGATGTGAAGGATTGCCTTTTTTTTTTAATTGTTGTGCTGGGTGGGGGTACATTGTGGCATTTACAAAAGTTCTTACAATATATGTAATATATATCATACTTGAATTCATTCCCTCCAAGTGTTGCCTTTCAGTCTCAAATTTTTAACTGAGAAGGTGAAAGCATTTCACATGCATGACAGTGGCTTTTTAACACATTCTGGAGACTTGATTGTGTGTATTAGAAAATTAAAGTAGAAAGTTGTTTTAGTGTGTATAAATAAAACTGGAGGCAATTGACCTATGGAACTGGGGCTGGAATTTAGCAATGGTAGAGCATGTGCAGGGCCCTATCTTGAGTCCCCAGCAACACACACACATATTATATGCACACCCCCCACATGGGATTGATCACAATTTAAAAATGTACTTATTAATTTTAAAATTACATCTTTGGAGTAATTGAAACTCTTGTGCATAGTATATGGTAGTTTCATCTGTTAGAGTCTGAATGATTAGTTCATTCTGTCTTATACTAGAGCTCAAGTTATTGTGGGTGACGTAAATTGAATTAAGAGATCCTTGCAGTATAGTTATTAGTTGTTCATGTCTTTTTGGAATAAAAAACTTTCAAGCTATCAAAATATGTATCCCATTCACTTATTTCATTATAGTGGAAAGAAATGCTCAGAGGTTGTATCCAGAGACATAGCAGGTGTCATCATCAGGTCTTGATTTTGATCTACTTTGGAAAATAGTCATAATTGTGTAGTTGTATTCCTTTGGAAAATGTCAGTTCCATATATACTGAGTCAACCTTCTTTATTATAGGTATAGTGTTATCTTACAACTTATGTTGCAGGGCATTTTAATGCTAGTCTTTTTTTGAAATACTGTTAAGATGGAGTATTAATATTGAATTTCCAAGATAAAGCAAACTAGAATACAAAAATGCTTGCTTAGTCAGTTATCCTTGTTCAAATGGGTGCAGAATTTGTGGTAAGAAGAATTGCCAATCAGGCTGGGTGCATTGACTCAACCTGTAATTCCAGCTACTTGGGAGGCAGAGGTGGGAGGATTATAGTTTAAGGCCAGCTTGAGCAAAAAGTTAGTGAGACCCTTTCTCAACAAAAAAGCTGGATGGGTTGGTAAGCCTGTCATTCCAGCTAGGGGTGCATAAGTAGAAGGATTGCAGTTCAAGGCCAGCCCTGGCCAAAACCCCACAAGCCCTTTTGTAAATAACTAAAAGAACAACAAAAAAACCCAGAATTGCCAATCAGAGAAAAGTTAGTGTTTTACAGAATTTATGGGTTAATTAATTTTAATTTCCCTGTGTAGTACTTTATAAATATTTGTAATCTACACTACCCAGATGGCTGTGTAAAAAGCCAAGTTAGCAATCTAGATTTCACCATGTCATCAGTTTGTTAAATAGCAATGTGGAAAGGTAGCAGTATTGTAACTGATAGGAAATTGTAATCTATAATTTTTGACCACAGAGAGCTCCCCTGTAAAATAGCACAAATTTGAATTGCTGTGTGATTGAAATTAATCGCCTTTGTGTGATTAGTCGTAGAAGTTGTATTGGTATGCGATAGTTTTGTCTTTACAGATTTCATTTAAACTTTTGATAAAATTTATTTGACTCTCCTATAAGAAATAGGATAAATATGATGTAAAAAAATCTTGCAACAGTTTTATTTATAGTGTGTTTATTTGCTGAGTACTCATGAGCTATGTGCTTAATTTGTGGTGATTGCTGCAGCAGTATTAAATTTGTGTTCTGATTATTAATACAATTTTCTGAAAAAAATAGTTCCAAGAACACTTATAAGGGATATTCACAGAACTTTCACAGTCAACATTATTTTGACAAACTGATCTACATTTTAGGTGTTATCTATTTGAAAAATATGATAACGCAGTATTGGCCTGATCGGGAAACAGCACCAGGAGATATCTCCCCTTACACTATTCCAGAAGAAGATCGACATTGCATTCGAGAAAATATTGTAGAAGCTATCATCCACTCACCTGAGCTTATCAGGTATTTATTGTTTTAAAAATTTACCTATTTAGAGGTATCTCATTTATATGTAGATTATCTTTTCAGAACGTAAAATCCTGTCATTTTTGTAGCAGAAAACTTATCCAACAAGTTGTGATAGAAGAATGCCTTCTTGATTCATTGTCTTGCTAAAGTTGAATTTTATATATGTAAAACCAAGAACTTCAAAATTTTCATATAAAACTTGTGAAACATCCTGTGATCAGGTGGAAGAGGGTAAAGAAAACTACAGAGCTGAGCACGGTGGTTCAATCCTATAATCCCAGTACTTGGGAGTCAGGGGGCAGGAGGATCATGAGTTTGAGGCCAGCCCAGGTGCTCTGGCAGTTCATGACCAACCTGGACAACTTACTGAGACAGTTTCTCAAAAAACCAAGGGCTGGTCTACAATTGAGCTCTTGCTTAGAATGTGCAAGGCCCTTGGTTAGATCCCAGCACTGACAAAAAACTATGGAATTCTGTCATATTTTATATTGTTTAACTTTTTGATACTGTAAAGTGAAGTGTTCTGCCAGTCCTTGTGGTGCTGCCTGTGCTGCCCCTTCCCCCATGCTGGAGATTGAACCCCTGGCCAGCTCATGCTGGGCAAATACTGTACCACTAAGCTACACACCCACACCTACACTCACACACACCCCTGTAACCTCAGCCCTAAATGCTCCTATTTCTATTGTTTTGCAAACTTTAAATGAGTATAGTTTATGTTTTTAAGTGAAACTTGTTTCAGCAATGAAAAAAAAAATCCACACTCATTTGTAACATACTTGTTGGGTTCCTTTGAAATGAGTAGGAGCAGGTACTTTTTTTTTTTTTCTTTTATTATTCATATGTGCATACAGGCTTGGGTCATTTCTCCCCCCGCCCCCACCCCCTCCCTTACCATCCACTCTGCCCCCTCCCTCTTGCCCCCACCCCCTCAATACCCAGCAGAAACTATTTTGCCCTTATTTCTAATTTTGTTGTAGAGAGAGTATAAGCAATAATAGGAAGGAACAAGGGTTTTGCTGGTTGAGATAAGGATAGCTATACAGGGAGTTGACTCACATTGATTTCCTGTGCGTGGGTGTTACCTTCTAGGTTAATTCTTTTTGATCTAACCTTTTCTCTAGTTCCTGGTCCCCTTTTCCTATTGGCCTCAGTTGCTTTTAAGGTATCTGCTTTAGTTTCTCTGCGTTAAGGGCAACAAATGCTAGCTAATTTTTTAGGTGTTTTATCTATCCTCACCCCTCCCTTGTGTGCTCTCGCTTTTATCATGTGCTCAAAGTCCAATCTCATTGTTGGAAACAGGTACTTTTTGTTGAATGAGTTATTTTAAATTATCTTTTTGTTTTGTTTGGTTTTATTTTGTTGGACTCAGGGCTTCTGATTTGCAAAGCAGGCACTCTACCACTTGAACCACACCTTCAGTCCTGTCTGCATTTTATGTACATCAGGTGTACTTGAACCACATCAGGTGGATTATTTGAAATTCGGCCCATTTTTCTTTGTATAAATTAGTGACATTTGATTTAAGTAGAATTTCTTCCTCACTGTTTATTTTTGACTTTTAGGGTACAGCTTACTACATGCATTCATCATATCATCAAACATGACTATCCAAGCCGCTGGACTGCCATTGTGGATAAGATCGGCTTTTATCTTCAGTCTGATAACAGTGCTTGTTGGCTAGGAATTCTTCTTTGCCTTTATCAGCTTGTGAAAAATTATGAGTAAGTGTCTTTCTCAATTCCTGTGGAATTCTGGGAAGTAGAAAAAGTTGGGAAAATATAAACCAACTTGAAAATATAAAATTATATTTGGCATAAGTAAGAAAATTACTGATCTATATGTTAATTTTAATTTAATATCTTTTATGAAGAATATTTTAGAATTCCCTGTTTTTTAATCAATGTATTTTGAAATATTCACACTCACCTATTTCATTCTTTGCATATTTCAGCAAATTATAATTCATGTAAATAATTTGTATCAGTAAGAAAGATTTTAGACTAAGTGATCATTTTAGATCAGATATAGGGATCAGAAAAGAAAAATATAGCCTTGGGAGTTGAGGTATAGCACTCAGAGTGGTAAGCCAAACAGCAAAGGTATTTTCCTTTAATCATGAATTTTTTGGAGTTTAGAAAACTGGTAAGACTCACATAATGTGTTATATAATACCAGTATTGAATTCCACAGTAGCATGCAGTAGTTGAACACATGGTCTCTATTATATAATATGTGAACATTGACCCCAAATGGGGTAAATGAAGATTATGAAATGCACGTTCATCATTTTTTGTTGCCAAGTGTCAACTTAGGTTTATAATGCTTTTGGACATTAAATACACTGGTATATAAATTACTTAAGAACGCCTGTAATACTAGCTACTCAGGAGGCAGAGATCAGGAGAATCATGGTTCGAAGCCATCCCAGGCAAATAGTTCTGTGAGATCCTATCGTGAAAAAACCCTTTGCAAAGGACTGGCAGAGTGGCTCAAGGTTTAGGCCCTGAGTTCAATCCCCAGTTACGCCCCCCCCCCCCAAAAAAAGAAGAAGAATTGTAGTATAGCTACTACTATTTAGAAGCCAGATCACAGTAGCTCTTTGTTTATATCAGTATTTACAGTTAGGGACTGCAGAGTGAATTGTTCAGAGGGCAAACCCTGAATGCCAGTTATATCTAGGTTCATACCTACATGTGTAATTAGGAAAAATATTTAACTTCTGTGCCTCAGTAACCTCAACTATAAAAGTGAGAATACCAGTGGGGGTCTGGGGACTTTGAACATTATTGATCCTATAATAAATGTTCAATAAATTAATATTAGATGTCCTATTTCCTGAGGTTTTTATTCAGCTTGCTTTTCTTTGTGGTTTTGTTGTAGAGTAGGTTTTTCTTTTTCTAAATTGGCTAGAAAGTATTTATTTGTGTGAACAAGCAAATAGTTTTGTGTATATATAAACTGTGAAAGTAAATTCTTACAGAATTAGTTTGTATTCCTACTCATAGGTACAAGAAACCAGAAGAGCGGAGTCCATTGGTAGCAGCAATGCAGCATTTCCTGCCAGTTCTTAAGGATCGTTTCATCCAGCTTCTTTCTGACCAATCTGATCAGTCTGTCCTCATCCAGAAACAAATATTCAAGATTTTCTATGCTCTTGTTCAGGTACTTTTTATAAAGCAGGTTTTTATACACACACACACACACATACACACACACACATACACACAGCCTGTGGTTTACTACATTAAAAATAAAGAATTTTGCATCTGAATAATTACTTTTGAAAGATCTAAGTAGGTGATTTTGCTAGCACAATATAAGTTGTCAAAATTATGAGTCTAGACGAGGATACTTCGCTGAATAATCAACAGTAATAAATCTTAAAATGTAAGTGGGCAATCTCAAGTTCTCTAAAGACATTCAACATAACAAATATTTTTCTTTTCTTTTAAAATGGGATTTTATGTGTTACCTAGACTGGTGTTGAACTCGTGAACTCAAGTGATCCTTCTGCCTCAGCCTCCTGAGTAGCTGGGAATGAAGCTGCATGCCACCATACCTAGCTAAAATTAGTACAATTTTCTCAAATCTTTTACCCGTTGAATTCATAAGTCAGCCACTTATGTTGGTACATGCCACTTGAGGATTGTTGAGCCTAGGACTTTGATACTAGACTAGGCAGCATAACAAGATTCCATCTAAAAGAAAAAAATTCATGAGCTTGAAAACCAGTTACTTGATTATAGTTAAAATCTAACAGTCTTATATTCCAAATATACATAGACTGTCCTAGTAAATACAAAACCTTTTCCTAACTTTGATACAAAATAATACTGTAGATTTGACTAGCACACAGAGTAGGGCTTTATCATTTCTGTACATTCTAAATCTTTTGAGTATAAGAGAGTCTCACTAAGGAAGTAGCTCAGTCTGTATTCCCAGTGGATATAATTCTTACAGAACAGAGTTTCTGATCAGATTCCAATACTGGTTCTTTTTTGTAACATATAGTTATGGAGTGGTTCCTCTCACCTGCTGGGAGGTTTGGTTCAAGTCATATCATTACATTTTAAAATCTTAATACCTGTAACTTTACCTCCTCTAAAATTTAGTAGGATTTTCCATGTTTCTGCTAGGTCTTTTTAAAGACCTTGTAATTATCTTCCAACCTTAGTGTAAATGCACTTTAATATCATTCCTTTGGATCCTTATTATGTAATTCTTTTGTAAGTGATTTAAGTAGATAATACCTATATCCTTTTCATATTTTTCCTAACTGTTAAGATGACAACCTTTAGATTAATATAAATCCTTTTAAAAAAATGTTCCAGGGCACAAAACAAAGTAAATACTTGTTTTCCCAACTTACTCATTGGGACTTAACACATCCTGATATCAAAATATAGTTCTGTGTCATTTGTGCAAATGGATATCCTAATATCCTAAATTGGATATTGATTTTATCAGCCTGCTGAAAATAGGAATGCAAGAATGTATCAACAATAAATTAATTTTTGTGAGTAACCCTTCAGACATATTAAAAAGATATATAATTATCTTTTTGAATGCCAGATAAAGCATTTGATAAATTTAATAGCCAATAAAAAAGAAAGCAAGACTGGGGATAGTGCTCCTTGTGTAGAGTGCTTGCCTACTGTGTGAGAGAGAGAGAGAAAAAAAAAGAAACAAACAAACAAAAAAAAAGGTAAGAAAGCAAGAGTTAGAGTCCTAGAATAGAAATTTCCTAACTGTATAAAAAGGTGTTCACCAGAAATCTAGAATAAATGTAACACCTTAGGGAAAAAATAAGATAAAGTCCCAATAATGTTGGAAACAAAACTAGGATCCCTGTTGGTCCCTGTCACTGCTGACCATTGTAGATAACTAACCAAAAATTTTTTCCAATGTACTAATAGGGAAATGTGGATTAACTGAAATACTCTTGGTAGGTTCTTGTGACAAGAAAAAGGAAGTGCGATTTTCTTTAGTAAGAACTTAAAAATACTATTTGTTTTTTATTTAGTATACACTACCCCTGGAGCTGATAAACCAACAGAACCTGACAGAATGGGTAGAAATTTTGAAGACTGTTGTAAATAGGGATGTACCTAATGTAAGTTTTTAATGTGTTCTCTTATATTACAAAATGTAAGTACTTGATGATCTTTTAAGGATTTTAACTGACATTTCCTGTAACATTCCTTATGAACTTATAATTCATGATACATTTTTCTAAATGTAGACATGCCTTTTTGTTTCTTTAGCTAATATGCGTATGCTAAGTAAAAAAATGTGAGGAGTTATTTCATATTACTAGTTAACTGCTTGCGTATATCTGTTTATTTCATGCTAATTGTTCTTCTCAGTTCTTACCTAAATTAGGAGATTATAACTAGATTGTAGCCTAATAACTTGTCAGATGGCCATGAACGGAGGAATAACTTAACTTACAAGTTGGCCAAACTTTGTAGTTTTGTTATATTTAAAGAATAACTTTATTGAGTTATCTCTTACAGTATAAAATTTGCTCTTTTAAAATATACAACTTTGTGGGGTTTAGGGCATTTGTGGTTGTCCAGTTGTGCTGTGTACTTAATCACAATTTTTAAAATTACTAGGTGTTGAATACCTAGTATGTTTCAAGTCCTATTATTTAGTCCTCAAAAAAAACCTTCTAAGTTTAAACTTAGACTTGGGAGGGTTATGTAACTTTTCAAAGTGACATTGTTTAATTTTTTTTTTTTTTGGTGGTACTGAGGTTTGAACTCAGAGCCTCATGCTTGCTAGGCAGGCTCTCTACCACTTGAGCCACTCCACCAGCCCAAAGTGTTAAAGGAATAGGTGAGACCAACTTGTTTCATGGTTTAATTTTTTTTTTTTTTTTTTAAGCTAGGGATAGAACTCGGGGTCTTTTGCATGTAAGCATAAACTCTTCTACTGAGTTATATTCTCAATCCTTATTTTAAAATTAGATTTGCTTCAAGGAAATTTAAAAGATTGCAGAAGTACATAATCATTTCTCCCATACCATAGGACACTGGTTTGGCATGTTTTTCTGTATACATTAAATATACAATACAAAATATAACTTTAAAAAGTCTGGTATATATATTCTTCACCTTCTTATGGTATAATTTATATTCAGTAACAGATTGTAAGTAAATAGTTCAGTGGATTATTGCAGCTATCACCTCACAATATTTCTTCATGGCTGGCTCTACTCTCCTGTCATCATTCTCAGATTTTACCTGTTTGAGAATTAAATATAATAGTAATCTTGCTTTTGGCTACTTTCACTTAATCTGTCTATGAGATTTCATTCATGTTGTGTAGAAGTGTTTGTTCCTTTTTATTGCTAAGTGATGTCCTTTGTTTAGATGTACCTCAGCTTATGATACATTCTCATGTTGATGAATGGACATCAAGATGGTTTCCAGATTTTTGTTGTATTCAAAATAGAGACATGAAAATGCTTATGAGACTTTGTGATCATAAGCTTTCATTTTCTTGTGTAAATACCAAAGAATGGAATCGGATCATAGAATATATATGTTCACATTTTTTCTTCTTCTTTTCTCTCTTATATATGTTTACTTGTAGAAGTGTCTTCCGATGTGACTTTCAACCAAAGTGGTTGTTTTCACTGACAATATATGAGTTTCACTTCTGTATTCTTACTTGTCTTAACTTTAAAGTATGTCATGAACTGGAAATGTGGCTCAAGCAGTTGAGCGTCTGCTTTGCAAGCGTGAAGGCTTGAGTTCAAACCCCAGTCCCACCAAAAAAAAATTACATATATGTGTTGTATGTATTTATATGTATGTGTATATACACATATACGTGTGTCACGAATGACTTAGGTAAGCATATCAGCTCATTCTTTCAGTGGATTAAATTCAAAATTCAAAATTAATAATGTTTAGGCTATTTGTACTTTTTTACTATTGTGACTAGTACTACAATGAATGTTTTCATTTATATTAAAATTAGATTTCAGGTACATTTATATTGATATACCTGAAATTAGATTTCTGAAATGGGGTCTCATGTCCTTTCCATTATGAACTTTTCCAATTTTGTTTAAGCTATGATTGTCCTTTGTATTGACTTTTTATTATTTAGATATTGATTAAAATATTTGCTTTTAAAAAGCACATCCTTTATGGACTAAAGGCATGGGTCATGTGGTAAGGTGCCTGCCTGTCTAGTGGAAACTTAGTTCAAACCCTGTACCACCAAACAAAACCCCAAATCCTTTGTAACCAAGTAGTGAAGCAGTGAACATGCCTCTGAGATTTAAATAAAGGGCAATATTTTCCCAAATCTAATCTTAAAAAGCCAGCATTTGAGACACATACCAAGTTTGTTCTCAGGCTGTTTCTACTAGATTGTATTATCTTTTACCATCATTAAGTAAATATCTCTTTAAAGGAAACACTTCAAGTTGAAGAAGATGATAGACCTGAGTTACCATGGTGGAAATGTAAGAAGTGGGCTTTACATATTTTAGCAAGGCTTTTTGAGAGGTAAGTTTTCTCCATACATTGTGATTGGTGATTTAAATTTGTTTTTTTAAAGATTTTCTTTTTATACTGTATCTAAAAAGCATTATAAAGAAGTAAGGGGCATTTTAATGTTCTTTTAGATATGGAAGTCCTGGGAATGTTTCCAAGGAGTATAATGAATTTGCTGAGGTATTTCTGAAGGCATTTGCTGTTGGTGTCCAGCAAGTAAGTCTAAAATAGTTTTTCTATGTAGAAAGATTGCATTTTCAAGTTAATTTTTTTCTTGCTTGTTTCTAGTTTCTTTTTCATCTCAGCAATGTATGTTTCAATCTTATATGGTTCTCAAGCATTTTTGGACTTAGGACTTCTTTATAGTGTTAAATTATTGAGGATCCCATAGGTTTTCATTTACATGGTTTATACCTAGTAATATTTAACATTAGAAATTAAAATAAAATTTAGCAGTTAGGCTGGGTATGGTGGTACATGTCTATAGTCCCATTTACTCAGGAGGCTAATGTGGGAATATAGCTTGAGGTCAGGAAATTGAGGCAAGCTAGTAAGATTGTCTCAAAAAGATAATGGAAATTTAATTGTTAATTCATTTAAAAACAATAACAGTAATTACTTGTTAACATAAAAAAACTTTAAGAACGGGTGGAGTGGCTCAAGTGGTAGGGTACCTGTCTGGCAAGCTTAAGGCTATGAGTTCAAATGCCAGTACCTCAAAAAATAATTTAAAAAGAAAAATAAATAAACACAAAAAGCTTTAGTGTGTGTGTGAGAAAAATAACTTTCAAAATGAAGGTTTTTTTTACAGAGGAGTTACAGTTACATTTTTTTCCTACCTTTAATGTTTAGTTTAATGTAAAGACACTTGGAAAGTCATCTCTTTCAGTCTGTTTTGTTCAGTCTGTTGTTTTCAGTATGTTTTTTTGTGGTTGATATTTAAAAAAAAAGGAATGGAGTATTTTTTTCTGTTAATATTTCTTCTGGTAATTGTGGATTTTTTTTTGCAGCGGGTTTGAACTCAGGACCTCATGCTTGGTAGGCAGGTACTTTTTACCACTTGAGTCAGTCTGGCAGCCCAGTTGTGGAATTGTTCTTTCTTTCTTTTTTTTTCTTCAGTACTGGGGTTTGAATTCAGGGCTTATACCTTGAGCCATCTCACTAGCCCTTTTTTGTGATGGGTTTTTTTGAGTTAAGGTCCTATGAACTATTTGCCCGGTCTGGCTTTTAACTGTGATCTTTTTGATCTCTCCATCCTGAGTAGCTAGGATGATAGGATGATAGGATGACATGCTTGGCTTTTAGAATTCTTTAAGATCACACCCAAACTTCTCAGTGGTAGTTTCTCAAGTTAATTGCAATGTGGGATTTAAAACTGTAACACTGAATTTTTTGCATTCTCTTAACATTAAAACTCATGGTATATATTGTACTTACATTGCATGATTTTGTAATATCCTGGACTTAACCATTATGAAAATGTTGATTTATTGAGTTGATACAGGCTTTCCTTGTACAATTTAAAAAGAAAATGACACTTAGGTTGGGGTCTTGGCACAAGTGAAAGAATTCTTATGTAGTAGGCTGCCTATCTGTTCTTTCCAGTTGGTGTTTAATGAAATAAGTAACTACTGCAGCTTGCTATTCAGTCTCCAAAAAGTACTTTTCCAACTGTTGAACTTTGGTATATAGCAGATGGGTTCTAGATATACTTCTCATTTAATAATTACTATTTTTCTGATTCATTGAGGACATTTCTAAGGAAAACTTGTTCTACGAGTATATGTTGTAAAGAATACATTCCACTCCCTTGATTCATGTTAGGCACCAGGTTTTAATACTGTTAATGTAAATGTAACACAGCTAAGAAAAAAGGCAGTTAACATCCTACTGTAATTATGAAATGGTTCTACTCTTAGCAGGCCTTCTGAAAGGGTCTTGGGCACCACCAGTGGTCTGTGGTTCATAACTTTACTCAAGTGGTGACTAAACCTAAATAGGTAGATGACTGGTTTGGATAATGTTTTCCCAGAAGATGATCAGTAAGATTTGGCTCTCCCAGAATAATGTGGTGTTCAATAAATTGGTAATACAAGGTTTTCTCTTCCATTTTTCACTTAGCCAGAAACTAGGCTTTTGATAGTCTTTTTTTGCACTGGGGTTTGAACTCAGGGCCTCACACTTGCTAGGCAAACACTCTACATCTTGAGCCACTCCTCCAGCCCTTAACACAGTCTTATGTCAGTATATTATTTAGGTGCCTTGGAGATAAATATATTTCTCTACTTTATTTTAAATTTTTCTTTTTAAAAGAAAATTGTGGTGATAACTTGAGCATTAAGATGAATGTCAGATGTTTTTAATGGTTTATAAGTAGTTAAAATTTCTAAATGAACTTCAGTTTTTGATTGAACTTTTTTTCCCCCAAAGGTTTTATTGAAGGTGTTGTATCAGTATAAGGAGAAGCAATACATGGCTCCTCGAGTTTTACAACAGACATTAAACTATATTAATCAAGGAGTTTCCCATGCCCTTACCTGGAAGAATCTGAAGCCTCATATACAAGTAATAACTTTCTGTATAATACAAATGACATCCAATTGCCATAAAGCTTGAAAAGTTACGTGTTTTATTAATTAGTCTAGTTCTGGTGATTTTTTTCATCATAGCAGAAAAAGGAGATGTAACACTTTGACCTAAAGTTATGAGAGGCATTTTGTGAATATTCAGCTTATTTTTAGTCTAAAACTGTTACCTTCAAACTTGCATTAAAGTTTCTACTATGGGATTATAATCAGTTAACATTTTAATTATGTAATTTGGAGTAAGCGAAGGGGTTTATTTCACCAGATTGGTCTCCGGGATAATTGGCTTATGTTATTTTTTGAGTAATTAATTTGCTTTTATAGATGTAGGATTTGATAGACTAAATTTTTATATTAAATTTTTTCAGAATACTTAACGTCTATGTATACATACGTCTTATTTTATAATTACTTGTTACAGGGAAGGTAAGAACCTGTAATATGAGAATGCATTAAATTACTAAAGTTTAGCAAGTAGTTTTAAAATATGTATTGTAGGGTTATTTTTGTTTAGTACTTGAAGGAGATAAGACAGTTTAAATTTGAAAGCTGAAGGTTGTTACTTTCTTAACTTTTAAATTGCAGGGCATTATCCAAGATGTTATTTTTCCATTGATGTGCTATACAGATGCTGATGAAGAACTTTGGCAAGAAGACCCTTATGAATATATACGCATGAAGTTTGGTAAGGATTTTTTTTTTTTTTTTAATGGCCTCAGCCTTGATACTGTAAAATTTTCTTTGTTTTGATATAATCTTTTGATGTAGACCTTTTTGGGACTACTGTGTTAATTATGACCTTTTATTTTACTTTTTAATTATTTATTTGGTGGCACTTTATAGACAGTGACCCTTATCGTTTGAGCCACTCCCAGCCCTTTTATTTTGATAGTTTTTTTTTTTTTTTTTTTTTTCTTTTTCAAGATAGCGTCTCGAGAACTATATGCCCTGGGTTGGCTTCAAACCTCAGTCCTCCTGATCTCTGCCTCCTGAGTAGCTAAGATTACAGTGTGAGCCACTTGCACCCAGCCAAGAGAATAAGTCATTTGAATGTTGGTTAAGAGAAATTATTCTAAGGATTTAAAAATAAAATAGCTATTACTTTTTTTGTCCTTTTATCATTTACTAACTACCGACACTACTGGCGCCTGATCTAATTATGGCATTTTAAAATGATCTTTATTTTTAGCAAACACAAATTCAGTAGTTTATTGTTTGGGTTATTGGATGTGTTTGTAGTATATGCTAAAACTAGTAGATAGTTTAGATAGCAGCTTAACACTGAGTGTCTAAATTACATTTTTGGGTCCTATGTCAGTTGTATGTATGAGAATTATAAAGATGGATGGTGAAAGGTAGAGTTGTATGAGGTCCATGCATGGAATTAAAAAATTATAATTTATCAAGTGTTGGGTTATTAGTGTTTCTTCCTACTAGAGTCTTCAGTACTTTATTGTTTGTACTTTTGTGACCCTATTGTGAGAATTCTTAAAATTGCAGTGTTTTCTATGAGATAATATCAAATAAAGGAGTTGATAGATTAGCATTTAATTTTAACAGACAAGAAATGGAAGCTGAGTGAGGTGACAACATGCTGATAGTACTTGCTAAATTTGGGAGGCTGAGGTGGGGAAGATCACATGAGTTTGAAACTAGCTGGGATAACATAGTGACACCCCTGTCTCAAAAATAAACAAAAACTTACATAGAATTAGGTTTTTGAAAATAATATGGGGATCTGGTCTGTCTCTCTCTCTCAGAAGACTGGATCTCACTGCATAGCCTGGACTGGCCTTAAAAATGTGATCCACCTGCCTCAGCCTTTCCAGTGTTATGATGGCAGGCTTTATGTTAGCACATTGCACATCTAAATGCCATGTTTTTTAAAGAGCAAATTTGTAAATTAGGTGATGTGAATGTTGCTTGCAAACAAATTAAAATGACTTCTCTGTTTTGAATTTGTTCTCCAGATGTGTTTGAAGATTTCATTTCTCCTACTACTGCTGCCCAGACACTTTTGTTTACAGCCTGTAGTAAGAGGAAGGAGGTAAGGTATTTATTGTTCAGGTAACTTTGGCTATATTGCTAAATTAATAATATTATTTAAATATAATATGCTCAGTTTTAAATGTTAGCCACGTGATTTGTTTTGTTAGTGTGTTTTTTAATGACTGTTGGGATGTTCAGTAAATTACCAATTATTTCTTAATCTAGGTACTGCAGAAGACTATGGGATTTTGTTACCAGATTCTTACAGAACCAAATGCTGATCCTCGAAAAAAAGATGGAGCCTTGCATATGATTGGTTCATTAGCTGAAATACTTTTGAAGGTATTTTCTTCTGTATATGTGTATGCAGCTTATTTAAATTAATAGCATTTTAGATAAAGTGCACAAACCATGCAATTTGACCATTTGAAGATATATACATATATCAATGATTTTTAGTGTATTCACAGACTTCTGCAGCTATCACCCCATCTAATTGCAATACATTTTCATAACACGAGGAAAACAAAACAAAAAACCAAAAAGCACTGTACACATGAGACATCAGTCTCCATTACACTCCAAACTTCCAGCCCTAGGCTACCCCTAAATGTTTTTTGTCTCTGGATTGGCTTATCCTGGACATTTCATATAAAGGAAGTGATAAAATATGTTCTTTGGTGAGTGGATTCTTTCATTTAGTGTAATATTTTCAAGGTTCTTCATATAGCATGTGTCAGTACTTACCTTTTTTTATTGCCAACTAACATTAAGTTGATATACCTCATTTTATTTATCCATTCTTCAGTTACTGGACTCATGTTTTCTGAACACTGGTGCTATCAACATTCATGTACAGGTTTTTGTGTGGGTGTATGTTTTAATTTCTTTTGGGTACACACCTAGGAGAAACCACACAGCTAATTTTCCAAAGTGGTTATACCTTTTTTTAATGTTAGCTTTTTCGCTTTCTTTATGGTATCTTTTATTTAAAGTGCAAGTTTTGACAAGATTTTGAAATAATGTACAATTTATGTTTTTTGTTTTTGCTTGAGTTTAAAGTTTTTTCTTTGTTTTGTTTTTTTTTTGGAGTAATTTTATGTGTTGCATGATAACTGACAAATAGCTTTTTTCTTTAAAAAGGCAATTTGTAAACATGAATGTATCTATTTCCAGCTTGTGCTTATCATCCTTTTGTTACACAATTTAAGTAAAGAGTAACTATAGATTAGATTATGTATGGGACCCTCAATTCAGTTGTCCACATTGTATTTGATTTCATAAGTAATGTTTAGTTACTGTACCTTCCCGTTACCAGATACCTTGTTCACAGAGTTCATCACATTTTTTTGTGTATATTTTGTATTTTTTCAGTTTTTCTTTTCCTATGCACGCATTCTTCTTAGCTTATAAAGTGTAAATTAAAGACAGTCTTAAATATTTGTTGTTTTTGAAGTCTGGGAGTCTTTTTGGTGGTACTGGGGTTTTGAACTTGGCCTCATGCTTGCTAGGCAGATAGGCATTCTACCATTTGAGCCAATCTGCCAGCCTTTTTTTGTGTTGACTATTTTTGAGATAGAGTCTCTACCACTTGAACCACACCACCAGCCAAAGTTTTGGAATCTTAAGTAGGTTCTGTTGCTATATTTGGATATTTTATCTACCCTTTCTCTTTACCCAGCTTCCTTTAAAGCTAACATTTTATCATAGAAATTATATAATTATCAAATACAGAAATTTAATACAGACTTTTTAAAGTTTCACAAGATTTCTCACTAATGTCCTTTTTTCTAGTCCATGATCCAGTCCAGGGGAGCCCTCATTCCTCGTTGCATTTAATTATCATGTCTTTTTAGTCTTCTTTAAATTTGTGTTGATGAGGTTTTTTGTTTGTTTTTTTTTTTTTTTTTTCTCCAGACTGGGGCTTGAACTTAGGGCCTTCACCTTGAGCCATTCCACCAGCCCTTTTTGTGTTAGGTTTTTTTGAGATAGGGACTCTTGTACTATTTGCCCTGGCTGGCTTTCAGGCTGCAATCCTCCCAATCTCTGCCTCCTGAGTAGCTAAGATTACAGGTGTGAGCCGTTGGTGCCCAGCTTTAAGAAACTCTTCTATGTGTTTTTTGTTGCTGTTTTTGCTGTGGTAGGGATTAAACCAGGTTCTTGTACATGCTATGGAGGTACTCTCTCACTGAGCTACATCCCTAACCCTTGTTTGTTTATTTATTTTCTTTGAGACAAAGTCTCACCCCGTAGTTGAGGCTGAGCTTGAACTTTTGTATGGTCCAGACTGACCTCAAACTTTCAGTCCTCCTGCCTCTTACTTCTTGAGTCCTGAGATTATATGCATGCTCCATAATGATGAATTTGGTTAATTGCTTTTCAGTTAGGTGATTCAAAAACATCAAAATGTGCCCTGTGTGGTTGTGCATGTCTATAGTCCCAGCACACTGGAACCAACCTGAGCTATATATTGGAGACCCTATCTTGACTCACCTTCCTACAAAGTAATAATTAAAACATAACAATGTATTGGTTGTGGATCCTGAGACTCAAAGGATCACAATAAGTGTATGTTGTGACATGAATAACACTGATGTACCTGCTTGAAAATTAAGACCATTATATTTCAAGCTGTGTCAAAATAAATAATTGTTTATATTTACAGAAAAAGATCTACAAAGATCAGATGGAATATATGTTACAGAATCATGTATTCCCTCTCTTCAGCAGTGAACTAGGCTACATGAGAGCACGGGTATGTTTTAAAGCTGTGTTTTTATTTATATTGTAAGCGACTAGATTTTTATATCAAACGTTTTTAATGTTCACTTGAAAAAGCCGTAGTTCATATAAAACTTCTGTTTAATATAAATATTTAAATGGCTGCTCTAATGTGTGCATAGTTCTCATCTGTGTCTGGTAGCAGTGTCTGTCTGTGTTTTGCATTCAGATCTTGCTATCCACACAAACAGCATGCAGCCAAAGAGTAACTTGGGATCATAGTACTGGCCTAGTGTTGTGTGTTTCGACATATCTACCACTGGCCAGCCTCCAAATTCCCGCACACAGAGCTTTGGAAAGAGCTTAGCTTGGTGTTTTTTAATATAAGGTATCTGTAGTCACTCACTGTGTTTTTTAAAAAGGCTTGCTGGGTACTTCACTATTTTTGTGAAGTGAAGTTCAAAAGTGATCAGAACCTCCAAACAGCCTTAGAGCTAACAAGAAGATGTCTGATTGATGATAGAGAAATGCCTGTGAAAGTGGAAGCTGCCATTGCACTTCAAGTATTGATCAGCAATCAAGAAAAAGGTAAAGGATTGTTTGTTAAAAATACTGCCTTTGCACATAATGATATAAGGCATAATCCTAGAATGTTAGCATATTTGTTATGTGAAAGTTCTTTTGAAAAACTCTTTTAGTGAAAAAAGAAAAAAAAAAAACTCGCGGAAACAAACTAGATTTTAGGGCTGGTGGAACGGCTGAAGTGGTAGAGTGCCTGTCTAGCAAGTGTAGGGCCCTGAGTTTCAGCCCCAGTACTGCAAAAAAAAAAGGGGGGGGCGAGAATACCTCTTTGATGTACGATATAACAGGTTTTTTTTAAGTCATTTAATTGTTTTGCTAAAAAGTTCTTTTTCTCTTACAGCTAAAGAATACATCACACCATTTATCAGACCTGTAATGCAGGCCCTTCTTCATATTATAAGAGAAACAGAAAATGATGATCTTACCAATGTAATTCAGAAAATGATCTGTGAATATAGTGAAGAAGTTACTCCTATTGCAGTAGAAATGACACAACATTTGGTATGTTGTTTAAACCTATCATTTTGCAAGTATTTTAATTAAGCTTTCAGTATGCTCCAGGTAGTGCTTCACAAGTGGCTTGACGGATATATAAAGCAATTATTTCATTGGGCTTTCTATATAGCATGTAGTCTTACTCAGTTCTTACACTATCCTATGTGAGAATTAAACTTTTTTTTTTCTTTTTAAGTACTGAAGTTTGAATTCAGGCCCTTGCATTTGCTGGGCAGGTGCCCTTCTGCTTGAGCCATGGCCCCAACCCTTTTTGCTTTAGTTATTTTTCAGGAAAGGTTTTGCATTTTTTGCCAGCATTGTCCTATTTAAGCCATATTTGTGGCTGGGATGACAGACGTGTGCCATTACACCCAGCTCTTTTGTTGAGATGGCAGACTCACTAACTTTTTGCTGGGCTTCGCCTCAAATGGATCCTACTGATCTCTACCTGCCAAGTAACTGGGATTACAGGCTTGAGCCACCTTGCTCAGCCAGAATTACTATTTTACATAGAGAAAATGTGAAGTATTAAAAGGTTTAATGTGAAAAAAAAAATAAAAAATAAAAGGTTTAATGTGTTACAGTTAGGCATCTGTGGCTCACATCTGTAATCCTAGCTACTCAGAAGGTAGAGATCAGGAGGATTGCAGTTTGAAGCCAGCCTGGGCAAATAGTTCAAGAGCCCTATCTCAAAATACTGGGTTGGCAGAATGGCTCAAGTGGTAGAGTGCCTGCCTAGCCATCACAAAGGCCTGAGTTCAGACCCTAGTACCTCAAAATAAAAACAGTTAAATAACTTGCCCAAGCTAGTCACAGTCTAGCTTGGATTCATGTTTGGATGTTTGGGCCTCCGCTATATATAGTTGGTACTGGGGTTGAACTCTGGGCCTACACCTTGAGCCACTCCACCAGCCTTTTTTTGTGTTGGGCATTTTCGAGATAGGGTCTTGTGAACTATTTGCCCGGCTGGCTCTTAACTATGATCTCCTGAGTAGCTAGGATCATAGCTGACTCCACAGTACATGCTTTTAACTACCACATGCTGCAGCATCTGAGTAGCTTGCTGGAATAAGTAAAACAATTGATTCAGTTTTAAGAAAGATATATCAACAGTCTCCTTCATGTTTAATCATACCCGTATTTTGTCATTGTCAAATATTAGCCATATTCATTTATTCATTCGTTTATTTGTGGTGCTGGGGTTTGAAGTCAGGGATATCTAGTAAGTTTTTTCTTTTTGTTTTAAATTTTTTAAGAGACTATAATACCTGGGTAAGTTCCTGGGCTCAAGCTGTCCTCCAGCTTCAGCTTCTCTGGTATTTGATACTACACACACTCTCCACTGTGCCCATAGTATTAAGCACAGTCTATCATTTGCCTTATTAATATAGTTATCTCTATGAAGTTCCACAAATGACATGTCAAGAAAGAAAAGTATGGTTAACAGAGTGCCAGAGCAGGATCATTTCTTTATAGAGCCCACGCTCTTAATTATTTTTAATCAGTTTATAGACGTTCATTTGCTGTGCTATCCCAATGAGAACGTTTTAAATATAAAACCCTGTGGCCGGGCTGAGCATAGTGCCATATGCCTATAATCCCAGCACCCAGGATTGTGAGTTGGAGGCTAGCTTGGGCTGCATAATGAGACCCTGTCACAGTAACAACATGTTTATAATGATTGAATGACAAACCTAGGTTGCATTCTCTTGACTCAAGGCAATGACATTTAACCAAGTAATCCAGACTGGGCCAGATGAAGAAGGAAGTGATGACAAAGCAGTCACTGCTATGGGAATTCTGAACACAATTGATACACTTCTCAGTGTAGTTGAAGATCATAAAGAGGTAAGAAAATGATTCAGTATTGCACAGGTTTTAGGGCATGCCATTTTACATTAACTGTTCTACCACAGTAGAAGGGTTCTGGCTTAGATAATTGTGACTATTTTACTCTTGATTTTGCCAGTTTTAATTTCTGAGGATAAAACTGGTACATTAAATATTAACATACTGTCATATCTTTTCATATAAAAATAATTTTGGTAGAAAACACAACATAATTTACCAACTTAACCTTTTTCTAGACGGTTACTGGGGTTTAAACTTGGCTTCACATTTGCTAAGCAGGCACTCTACTGCTTGAGCAGTAGAGCTCATCTTAACCATTTTACACATACAGTTCTCTAGTATTAGGAACATTCACATTGTTTTGTGATTATCACTATCATCTTCCTAATTTTCTTTTTTTTCTGTTATCATTTGGAAAAATAAGGGAATTACAGATTTTTTTCTATCGTTTTTCAGATTTTTAAATATTTTAAAGCATGCAGGAAAGAGTAAAGAACTGAAAACAAACTGATACCACCTAAGCACCATTTAAATTTATTGCATTTTACATTGTTATTTTATCTCCTTAGGTTTTATTTCCACAAAGAAAATAATTTTGTTTTGCCCTTTTTTTTTTTGAGGGGGATGGTATGGTGTAGGGTTTTGAGCATACTAGACAAGTGCTGTACCCCTGAGTTATACTCCATCCCCTCCAATTTCATATAAATATGAACTTCTTTTTCCTACTTCCTTCCATTTACTAAAAGTAACCATTGTCATAGATTTTGTGTTGATAGTTTCTTCTATTTAATTATTAGTATTTTCAGTACTTGGGTTTGAACTCAAGGCTTCACACTTGCTAGGCAAGCACTCTATCCCTCGAGCCATACCACCAGCTCAATTTTGTGTTGATAGTTTTAATGCAGATATTAATAACAGTAATATCTGTTGTCTATAAAGCCATATGTTTCCATATATCTGCAAGTTGCCCTTTTCAATGTGAGATGTTCAGAAAACTGTGTTTAACAGGTGAATTATTTTGAGAATTTGAAAAATGTATTACATGCTATGTATTTGAAATGAATGATCCACATCTCTGATTAGTACATAAAATCTTACCCTTTCCTCATCTCTGTTAACATTCATATTTGGGGTCCAGTTAAGGAGTTAATTCCCATATATCTTGAGTGACTTGGAGCCTGAGTACACATTCCATGTATCACTATCTAATATAACTTGAAAAAAATGGAGGTGACTTAAGATCTCTTGCAATTGGGAGGAGTAATGCCTTCATATCATTTCTATATAAATTACTGACGGTGATTTCAGTTACATCTGGGCTGAATTTGTTTGCATATTTCAAAAAACCTACAGACTTTGCTTAGAGTAGTTGGTTTTCTCATTGCAATGGTATTTCTTTAAATTTCAATCTCAAACTGATTCATAATTTCACAGTATCTATGTCCTTTCATAAGTTTAGTGAATTACACTATGCATTATTTTAATTATTCATTCACTGTACGGCAGTTTCATGTGTGTTTTTCCTCCCCCTTTTAGATAACCCAGCAGCTTGAGGGAATCTGCTTACAAGTCATTGGCACTGTTTTACAACAGCATGTCTTAGGTATTATACCTCTGATTGTGCTAAGAACTTAGTCCTATTTCATATGAGCAAGCATTTCCTAATGACTTGGTATTCTCTTTTAGAATTCTATGAGGAGATCTTCTCTTTAGCACATAGTTTGACATGTCAGCAAGTGTCTCCACAGATGTGGCAGCTACTACCCCTTGTATTTGAAGTCTTTCAACAAGATGGTTTTGATTACTTTACAGGTAAGGGCAAATTAATACGCAGATGCTGAGTTATCAGTGCCTCTACTCCCACTCCAGTTTTTGACTTGTATAATTTATAATTTTATCATACACTTTTCAGTGCTCCAACTGCTTCATTGTTTGGATAAGTTATCATGGCAATTAATGTTTCAAGAATGACATGAGATTGGATTTCATTATTTTGATTTAATTATCATTTTAGGTTTATTCTTTTTTCAATACACCCCATAGCTGTCAGTGTTACTTCAAATAAGTGTATGTGAGTGTATAATCTTTAACTACAAAATACAAATGAATTCACCAAAAGGTTCATTTCTGCATATAAATGAATAGTTTAATTAAAAGTGAATAATAGAAACAAAATAATATCAAAATGATTTTCTTTTTCTAAGTAAATTTTCAGAAGCAAACATGAAGCGTTTATATTAGTAAAGATGTATAATTGGTGCTTTTTATTAACACAGACATGATGCCTCTTCTGCATAATTATGTAACAGTTGATACAGACACACTTCTATCTGATACCAAGTATCTTGAGATGATATACAGTATGTGCAAAAAGGTAGGTCATTTTTAGATAATACCAGATTTCAGGAGGTTGCACCTATAAAAAATATTATGAAGGTACATGTGATACTACATTGTGCTAAATGTGTCAGGTGTGGATTTGATGGAAGCTGGGGATATAGCTAAGTGGTTAAGCCACCTGCCTAGCATGTATGAAGCCCTGCATTGTTTCAAAAAAAAAAAAAAAAAAAAAAAAAAGGAAAGAAAGTCATTGGTCCCTCAGTTCCACAGAAATGACTATGGCAAATACATTTCTTCTGTCTGCGCTCTGTTGTTTACCTGGAGTTACAAATATTTTGATCTTTAGAGATCCTGGAGGTTACTTTAGCTTAGTACTATGGAATTAACAACAAGGAAAGAATTCAGGAACTTGATAGATTTTTTAATAAAGAATCAGGCATGGGTAGATTTGTTTTTTAAAGGAAATGCTTGCATTGTATAGGGGCTATACAGTTAACTATTTAGGAAACTGCAAGATTGTAAAATCTGAATTTTTAAGTCAAAAGTATTCTGTCATTTCCTGAGAAATCAAAGGAGAAGTGTGAAGTGGGTGCTACTATTTGTTTAAATATAAGATTCTTGGGCTGGAGGTGTGACGCAAGTGATGGTAGAGAACTTGCCTAGCAAGCTCAAGACCCTGTGTTCAAACCTTAGTGTTACCAAAAGAAAACCAAACAATTCTTGTGAGAAGAGTTAGGGGATAAGTTTTCTCTACCGTGTAATTGGAATGATATATTTGGATTGGGGGTCCATCAATGTAATTGGTAGCATTTGAATTTCTAGCAGTATTTATTGTTTATTCTAGCAGGCCGTTAAAAAAATGATTTTGTTGGCTGGTATAGTAGCATTGCCTGTAATCTCAGCTACTTGGGAGGCTGAGGCAAAGGCTTCAGACCAGGAACTCAAGACCAAATGCAGTAGTCTGAGGAGCAGTCCTGCCTGTCCCTGTGCCCTCTCAGTAAAATATTTTCTTCCTCCATGAAATTTTTAGATGTCCTTGTGCTTCACTAATACCTTTCTCTTCTAAGCATTTTGTCACACAGTTATCATCTAGTTATGCATTATGTCATTGTCAATTAAGTTGTTTATATTTATACTTTGGGAATATAGATATCCATGCCATCTACTTTGCTATCCTAAGACATTTGGTCTTTACATTTACAGTTTTCTAGTGTTAACTAGCATGTCAAGTCTATGTTCTTTATTTCTTGTTTGGGTTTACAGCGTAACATACGCCATCAGTAGGCTACCTCCTCTTTTCTCCACCCCAACTTAGTATTTTATTTTATTGGACTTTAGAAAAATGTTTTCCCTAGAAATAGCAGTATCTTAGTATTTTGCAATTCTTTACATAAGAACCAGGTGTCTCTGAGAAAGGTTAGGTGTTTTAGCTTCCACTTTTGAGCAGTTAGTGGTTGTTAACATGCAGCAGTCTGGAAAGCCCATTAGTGTAGGTACTTTGATCAATGACCAGAACATCAGAAGGCTAGACCATTGCAAGTATGCAAACTCCAAATCCTCACAGGCTAATTAGTCTGTCTGCAGTCATTAATATTAGAATATCTTAAGTAATACTCAAACCCTGGACACAGGGACAAGAAGTTATTTCTTGTTTTATAGGTTTCTTGAAACCTTGCTGCAATTTATATTCTGTGTTGATCAGGTTCTTACAGGAGTTGCAGGAGAAGATGCAGAGTGTCATGCAGCAAAATTGTTAGAGGTCATCATTCTACAGTGCAAAGGACGTGGCATTGACCAGGTTAGTGAGACTTCAGAGAAGTCTGAAGTGAAGACTTAATTCCTCTAAAATTAGATTTTCTGGCACAATGCCTCAGTGTCATTCATCTAATGGACAAAAGAGTTAGTTAGGCAAGTAAATTAATATGGATAGGAGAAACAGAATAATATTAATTACAGTCTTGAAATATCTTGCAATCTTTCTCTACAGTGCATTCCCCTATTTGTGGAAGCAGCATTAGAGAGACTAACAAGAGAGGTGAAGACAAGTGAACTTCGAACAATGTGCCTGCAGGTTGCAATTGCAGCCTTATATTATAATCCACATCTACTACTCAATACCTTAGAAAATCTTCGCTTCCCTAATAATGTTGAACCAGTTACAAATCATTTTATTACACAGTGGCTTAATGATGTTGACTGTTTCCTGGGGTAAGTGACATAAATTGGACCTTTATAAGGATCTCTGCTTATTTAATAAAATAGGAAAATCATTACTTTATTTTACTTTTTTAGGCTTCATGACAGAAAGATGTGTGTACTGGGCCTGTGTGCTCTTATTGATATGGAACAAATACCACAAGTTTTAAATCAGGTTTCAGGACAGATTTTGCCAGCTTTTATTCTTTTATTTAATGGATTAAAAAGAGCATATGCCTGCCATGCAGAACATGAGAATGACAGTGATGATGATGATGAAGCTGAAGACGACGATGAAACTGGTAAGGGATTTATAATGGAAAAAGCCAAAACAAATCTAGTTATAGATATCATTGTACTAACTTGCTTTCTAGCCCTTCTTCCAAAGAAATCTAGGGTAATAGCTAAATGCTTTTACATTCATTCCTTCAAAGAATGACTTTATCTTTTCACCAGGATGCAAAAGTCTACAAAGGCAGGAATTTCATCTTTGTCTCCCAGCATATAGAACAGTTCCAGGCATTATAGTACACAGTCAGTAAATCTATACTTGTTTGCATTGCAGATAAAAAGATAAATAAGATTAGGGCATGGTGGTAAATGCCTGTAATCCCATGCAGGAGGATCTCAAGTTTAAGGCTGGCCTGGCCTACATAGTGAGTGAGACTTTGTACTGAGTGTCATGACATAAGGTGGTGAATTAATTTAGAAGAAAAAGCCAGCCTTGGCTACATAGCAAGACCCCATCTCAACAACAACAGAGGAGTTGTTAGGTGTTAAACAGATTCTACCATTTTATTCTTATAATCAGAAGTATATTGATAATAGGTTGTAAGGATTACATGGAGGAATTCTCAACACTTAATATAGTACTTAGCATTTGGTGTTCTGTAATATTTTGCAGAATTAAGCTGAGCACATCGGCATATACCTACCGTCCAAGCCAGATTCAAGAGAACCACGAGCCTACTAGTTCGAGACCAGCCTGAACAAAATGATAGTAAAGTCCTGTCTCAAAAGAACAAAACAAAGCCCCCAGAATTAACAGTATTGACAAAGGAACACATACTGCTATAATAACTTACATGATTTATAGTTTTAAATGTCTGAATTCCTTCTATCATCTCTCAGTGCTAAAACATAATATATGTTTGCACTGTAAAATTAAATAGATGTTGAGTGATGTACTTCAAGTGTGAAATACTGGTTTTTGTTTTTATGTTGACAGTACTGATGTTTGAATTCAGTACTCACACTTGATAGGGAAATGGTCTACCATTTGAGGCACTCCACCATCCTTTTTGTGTGTTGGGTTTTGCCTTTTTTTTTATTTAGATAGGATCTTGCAAACTATTTGCCTGGGTTGGCTTCAAACCATTATCCTCCTGATCTTTGCCTCTTTAATAGTAGCTATGATTACAGGCGTGAGCCACTTGCACCGAGCCAAGACAATAAATCAGATGAGTGTTGGTTAAGAGAAGTTATTCTAAGGGTTTAAAATAAAATAGCTATTACCTTTTTTGTCTTTTTATAATTTACTAATTTAGCCAGCACTTAAAAAAAAAAGTTTTATGAGCTGGGTATGCCTGTAATCCCAGCACGCCTGCCCACAAGAGGTACCATCTGTTTACCAGTAAAATACCTTTCTCACAGTAGGTAATACTGCTGTTACCAAAGAACTTGAAATGCCTCATAACCAGTCCTCAAAAGGTAGTGCAGTACCCTGAAGAGTAAATGGTGAAAGATTACTCAGAGGAGAAAAGGAACACAGAAATAACAGGGTGAGAAAGGTCAAGTGTAGATGGAGTTCACTAATTCTCAATTGTTTCCAACTCAGGGTTCCTTTGCCTGAATCTATTCCGGGTGCTTAAGTGGATGACAGGTGTTTTACTTTTGTGGAGTAAAGAGCTTTGGATGTTTATTGTTAGTTAGCTATTCACTTGTTGCAGTTTTCTTTGAAAATAAAAATAATTGTCACGAGGCTTTCTGTTCATTCGTGGCTGGAACTATGGGTATAACTTAAAGTGTATTACTTGATTATCAGTATTTAGTTGTGGTATAAATACCATAAGACTCAGAACATATCACGGACTAAATCTTAGGACCTGGAATCTTACATTAAATCTCTAACGAGAGTGGGGTGGAGCGCTGTCTCTCTTTTTTTTTTTTTTTCCGGTGGTGCTGGGGTTTATATTCAGGGCCTCAAACTTGCTAGGCAAGTACTCTGCCACTTGAACCACTCTACCAGCCTTATCAGAGTTTTTACATCTGTTCATTGCTGGACATGTGTTTAAACACCAGTTCCTGGAACTTGGATTTATTCATGACTTGTAATTTATTGAGTGTTAAAGTGGCTGCCACTTTACTGTGAAACAGTATTTTGGTGTTATAGCAGTACTTATTTTGTGACTTGGCAGAGGAACTGGGGAGTGATGAAGATGACATTGATGAAGATGGGCAAGAATATTTGGAGATTCTGGCTAAGCAAGCAGGTGAAGATGGAGATGACGAAGATTGGGAAGAAGATGATGCTGAGGAGACTGCTCTGGAAGGCTATTCCACAATTATTGATGATGAGGACAACCCTGTTGATGAATATCAGATATTTAAAGCTATATTTCAAAGTAAGTCATACATCTAGAATCATTTCATTGAACAAATCTGTTTTTGTTTGTGTCTATTCTTTGAAGAAAAGGTTAGAGAAAAATCAAAATTGCTTTTTTGTTTTTGGGAGTGGGATTTGAACTCAGGAATTCATGCTTGCAAAGCAGGCGCTGTACTACTGTACTACTACAGAGGTGTGTGAGCCACACCTCTGGTTATTTTGGACATAGGGTCTAGAGAACTACTTGCTCAGGCTAGCCTTGAACCTATATCCTCCAGATCTCAGCCTCACAGGGGTCATAGGTGTGAACCAATGGCACCCAGCTTGTGTGGGGGGGCGGGGGGGGCTAGGGATTGAACCCAAGGCCTTTTATATGCTAGGCAAGCTTTTTCTACCACTGTACTACATCCCTGGAGCAGGATGTGTGTGGATTGGTGTGGGTGTGTCTGTCCGTCCATCCATATGTTAAAGGAAGGCTTTGAGTAGCCAAAGCAAGAAAAATGATTTATTTTGTGGCATTCAGATTTTTCCTGCACCTATCTGATTCTGATGTTGAAAAATTCTAACCATGATAGCGTTTATCATTTTTAACTTAATTTTATTCCTAAAGTCTGCATACTTTGTTACTTACTATATAAGAACTTATTTAGACTCAGAATCCATATTTCATGAATTATGAGAGCAGTTAGATTTTTTGAGCCACAAAGATGAACTGGAATTAATTTTCATTACTATATTTTTTATCTTACAAATAACTTCAAAACTTTGGAGAATATATAAATGGATGAGAATTTCAGTGTTGTATGTGGGTAGAGTAGGGGAACCGAATAGAGTGGAGCTACTCTCTTAATGCTCTTTTTCCCTCCTTGCTTTTGTTTTAATATAGCTATTCAGAATCGTAATCCTGTGTGGTATCAAGCCTTGACTCATGGTCTAAATGAAGAACAAAGAAAACAGTTACAGGACATAGCAACTCTAGCCGATCAAAGAAGAGCAGCCCATGGTATGTTAGTCAACTATAAACCCTTTTTGATATAATTAATGACTGCTTTAAAATTTTGTGAGGGATTTAACATCGTATAAATAGGGGTGTAGCTATATAGTGTAGGCTAGGGGTACAGCTGAGTATTGATGAAGTGCTTATCTCACATGTGCAAAGCCCTGGGTTCCAGCCCCACAAATAAAGGTACATCACTCTTGCAGGTGATCGTAATTAACTCTAATCTGAGGGATTTAATATGTGAGAAAATAACTTTTTTTTAATACAGTTTACTAGTTTAAATATTTTTTGTGGGAATGGGAGGGTTGAATTCAGGACCTCACACTAAGCTACTCTCCTCAGAAGTATTTGAAGAAAATCCCATACGTTTCTTTCCATTTTTCAACAGTTTAGTATGCATTTCATAAACATGTATTTTAGAGTATGTATCACCTAACCATCTTCTGTAGGTCTTAATACCCAACTTTTTATAGTCATTGTCAAAGTAGGGTCCTCTTTATAAATAAGGCATAGCATTCTGAAGTAAGTATATTTTGGATTTGCTTGCATTTGATTCATTAGATTTTTTTGTTCCTTACTGATATATTTGACTCATAATCGGGTATTTACAGACTTCTTTTACAGTTGGAAATGAAAATAGGCTAAGAAGTGAACAAAAAAGTGGGGCAAATGCTATGTGCCTATAATCTCAGAACTCTGGAAGCTGAGGCAAATTTTGAAGCTAGATTGAGCTATAATTGCAAGACCCTATCAAAGAAAACGAAACAAACAAACAAAAAAAATCTGTAACAGCTGGGTGCCAGTGGCTCTCACCTGTATCCTACCTACTCAGGAAGCAGGGATCAGGATCGCAGTGTGAAGCCAGCCTGGGAAAATAGTTTTGTGAGACCCTATCTCGAAAAACTCTTTACAAAAATAGGGCTGGTAAAGTGGCTTAAGGTGTAGGCCCTGAGTTCAAGCTGCAGTACTGCAAAAAAAAAAAAAAAAAAAAAAAAGTAACATGCAACACATGCACCCACCTGTGTTCTTACACCATGTTGGAGAGAACAGAGGTTAAAGTTTTACTTATTTGTTTTCTAGAGTCCAAAATGATTGAAAAGCATGGAGGATACAAATTCAGTGCTCCAGTTGTGCCAAGTTCTTTCAATTTTGGAGGCCCAGCACCAGGGATGAATTGAGTTAATCATTTTCTTTCCTGCTGTGTGATTGTAGTGAAGAGCTTGTGTTCCTCCTAGTAGTGGTTCCAGAACTGGTTCATGTTATCTATTCTAAGCTTATTGATCAATAGATGGACAAAAAACCCCAGGAGGTGGGACCTGATCATGCAACCTGGTACTGGAAGAAAAACCAGAGGGATTGGGGTTGGGGATAACTTGGGGGGTATTTTCTTTATTTTTGAAGAAAGTAAGATCCTGACTCTGAATCTTCAAATGACACTGTGGAAATCTGAAACAAGAGGGGATGTCATGAAGGCAGCTTTTCTTTTTCTGAGGAAAAAAATAGGCATGGGCTACAGGACTATTTAAAATGTCTCATTTACAGTATAAAGCTCAGAGGTAGATGTAATTTTTACACCTATGAGTATCTGTCTGATCTGTCTCTTCCTTACCATTGGGTATCCTTTCTATGTATATAAGATAAGGTAAGATAAGCCTTATTCGGTCTTCATCATTTTCATTCATCAAAGATTGTTCCTATGTAGATTATTGGACATTTATTGTAGCACTACATAACTGATTTAAAAATCTGTAAATGAATTAGCACTTTCATATTGAAACAAGCCTGCTAGCCTATGTATAAAAGCAAAAATGTTTGCTGTTTATAAGAAGGGATGTGATGGGGTGGGGGGGCAGGGGTAATTTCAAGTTAATTATTAATTTAAAAATGAACTAGCAATTTTGTACCTGGTGACTTTGTGGTGCACTCACCTCTGATAGTGACTTGAATTCGGTATGTAAAAAGGGGTTAGTGATATTTTATTGCTGCTAAAAATGGCAACTCCCTCTGTGTCCTTTTTTTTTTTTCCTTAAAGCTCTCAGTGTACAAGTGGGTATTTGGATACAAGACCTTACTGTAACAAATAAGGAAGGTGATATCTTAAGCATGTGAAATGGATATAAAGTTCTACTCTTAAAGAGTTGATCTTAGAGTATGGCTAAACATCTATATATGCAATCTATTAAAAGAACTTAATTCGGCTATTATGTCTTGATTTGATTGCAGTTTTGTTCCTAATTATAACCCCACCACCACTGCCACCATTGGCCTGTTTTTATCCTATGCAAGTGTGCAAAATGAACACTTGACATCTAACACCTGCCCATTCCCCTTTCCCCATCTCTTGATGATTGTGGCATCTGATCTTAACTAGGTATGCTGAAGGCCCATGGTTCCCTCCAAAACCACTATTGATACCACTGCAAAATCAAGCCAGCAACGAGACAGTGTAGAGAGGTCGGGTTGCTTCCCTCTCTTCCTAATTGCATGTTCAAAAATAAGCCATTATTGATCTTAAACATCTGCAGGATGAATCATACATTGGATTATTTTTTATATAGATGTAAACACGATATTTCAAATTGAAAGCAACATCTCAGTGGATTCAAAATTATTACATGCTGTTGTCTAAAACAGATTAGAAAATTTATAACTGTAAAAATGAAATGCACATATTGATATTTAAAATGCATAATTAAGAAAACCCATTGGTGTTGTGTTTTTCTTGTATACAATAATTGAGCCACTGCTATTGGCACTGTTTGGTTTTCTATTTTAACACTGAAGGAGTGAAAGTATTTCCTATATTTATGAATTTACTACTAAAATCTTTACCAAAAAAAAAAAAGTCTGTCTAAAATGTTTGGATGAAAACTGTTAATCAAGTGTTTCTTTACCCCCTCCTCTCGCCAAGTTGGACACCAAGTGTATAACCTAGGTTGCTTAAGGGGATTTCACAATTATATCAAATCAATAAAGTAAAAATGGAGTAGTTGTATATATATGAAACATTGTGTACAGAGGGGAGATACTGAATACCATTAACATTCTTGTCTTCCTTTACTTTTTTTGTCCCCTCTAATATCTACTTTTTAAAATTTCAGACTTCACCGTTCTTTGAATTGATAATTCCAATTTCCACATTATTGTTATTGGAAAAACTACATCTAATAAAGATTTTAGTTATTCCCGTGCACATAATGAAAATTCTCCTTTGCTGAGATTTTGTTTTACAAAAATGTATACTGTCATATCTAAGAACAAGTTTTATTGTCTCATGTGTCATGTAATCCTAACCAATATCCATTTACAGACTTTAAAGCTTATACTCCTATTTTCATGATTTCCTTAAATTTTAAGTGTCTCACAGATCATAAGACTTAATGGTTGTTTCTAGATGATGATGTAAGACTTTTGGAAAAGAGTACTTAGGCTGACAGAGTGGCTCAAATGGTCAAGCACTGCCTACCAAGTGTGAGGCCCTGAGTTCAAGCCCCAGTAACAGTCAGAAAAGGAAAGAAAGTATATACAGTACTCAATTAGGTGTACATAGACTTCTATCTTTTTCCTTTTTTTCATATTTTTCTACTCTGTAAACTTACTTTTCACGTATCATATAATGTAGTGACTGCTGTACCTTGCTCTGGAAGAAACCAAAGTAAAGTAGGGGTGGTCAAACTACAGCTCTGTGGCTCAGTTCTGCTGTTGAGCCCCAGATACAGCCCTCTGAGGCAAGCATAATGAAAAGTATTGGGTTGGAGACATGGATCAAGCTGTAAAGCACCTGCCTAGCACTTGGGAAGCCTTGAGTTCAAACCCCAGTATTGCCCCAAAAAAGAAAGCATTATTAATTAGATAAATGTGGCTAGACTGTGACTTTGGTAAGCATAATAGGCTTTCTGCATATGTTTATAAAATGGGTGACCTAAAATTATATTGAAGTTTTGGCAGAGGTCATCTCTCTGTACCATTTATCCCTACTGAATTTCAGCTTTTACCCTTAAGTGAGGTTGGCGACCCTGGGAATAGTTCATACTTTGGCTCATAGTAAAGGAAGGATGCATCTCAGTACTTTTACATGCTCTTGGAGATACTACTCTATTGAAGGAGAGGAGAGATTAAATAAATCAGATTCCTAAAACAGCAGAGGTTGTATAACATAATTAAGATTTAGCCATGGCCAGGCGCTGGTGGGCTGATGCCTGTGAACCTAGCTGCTCAGGAAGATCATGGTTTGAGTTTCCAGAGGCCCTATGTTGAAAAAAATAGTAATAATAACCCTTCACAAAAAGGGCTGGTGGAGTTGTCACACTCATGCTCCTACTCCTTTTGATTTTTTTCAGGTAGGGTGTCTAGCTTTTTACCCTGGCTAACCTCAGACCTTGTTCTCAGTACCACCACCACCTTGGCTACACTGTTTTTTTTGGTCAGTGCTGAAGGTTGAATACATGGCCTTTTATTTACTAGGCAGTCACTCTACCACTTGAGCCATGCCTCCAGCCCTTTTTGCTCTGGTTATTTTTGGAGATTCGGTCTCACTTTTTATCCAGGCTTGCCTGGACCACAGATCTCCTGTTTGATTCTTCTGGCCATTGCTGGGATGACAGGCATAAGCCACTATGGCCTTGTATCACAAGCATCCAGATCTCCACCTCTCAAGTAGTTAAAATTATGAGCTTGTGTCATGGTGCCCGGTGATTACTGCTTCTTTGTAAGTCCAAGTATTATTCCTTTGACCATGTGAATCAAGAGAAACAGCAACATGGGTGCCCATGGGTGTGGGAGGAATAAGTAGCCAAAGTAATTTTTGTTTGTGAAGTTGTCATTCTAGATGTTTAGAAATACAGGTAACAATTAACCTTTATAGATTTTGATTCCACGTGTACACTGAAGTAACAAACCAAAACTAGAAAAATAAGAAACTTCAACATGATAAGGTATCTACCAGAAACCTAAATCTAGTATCATTGATAAAAGACAAGCTTTCTTCCTAAGTTCTGAAAGTCAAGGTTGCTCCTGCACACCAGCATCATTCAACATGATACATGAAGTTCTAGCTAGGGCAAGTAGGCAAGAAGAGAAAGGGCAACCAGATTGGAAAGGAAGCAAAACTATATATATTCACAGGTGATTTGCAGAAAGTCCTCTAAGAGAAATACAAATACAAAATGACTTCAAGATTCTCTATGCAGAAGCAATAAAGCTGCTAGAAGTTGAAATTAAAATTTCACTTAAAAAAATAACATTTAAAAATAAAATATTTATGAATAAATAAAGGAAAAGCTTTTACACTGAAAACTAGGAGACACTAAGAACTATGTAAATGGAAAGACATCTCATGTTCACAAATTGGAAGATATTGTGAAGACAGCAGCACCCTCTTGGTTGACCTACAGATTGGATCCAATCCACATAAAACCTCAGCTACCTTTTTGTTGCAGGAACTGGCACACACTAAAACTTGTATGGGAATACAAGGGGCCCAGAATAGCCAAAAGTTGAAATGAACATGGTTTGGTAATCACAATAGTGTGGTGCTGGTATAGAGAGGGACCAATGGGATAAATCCAGAGCTGAGAAATAAGCACAGTTACGGTCAGTTGATGTCCAAGGAAAGTTCCAAGGCAATTAGATTTGGGAAAGAACAAATGGTTCTGAGACAGATTATCTACATGCAAAAGCATGAAGTTAGTACCTCAACACATACCCCAAAATTAGAACAAAGACCCAAATGTAAAGCTTCATGATTTTGGATTAGATAGTGGTTTAGATAAACACCAAAGCATATGCTATAAAACAGCATGAAAAAAGAAGCCCTGAGGTTTGATTTCCCAGCACCAGCCAACAGATAAAATTGACTACATCAAAATAAAAAATTACATCTGCATGGTGGCACAGAGGCTACGCGGGACGATTACGAATTTGAGACCAGCATGGGCTACCTAGTCTCTTATCAACAAAAACATTCTAATTTTGTGCTTGAATAGACAAAGTGAGGGCTGGGGGCATGGCTCAAGTAATAGAGCATGTGTGACCAAGTATAAGGCCCAGAGTTCAAACCCAAGAATCTCCAAAAGAGAAAAAAAGGCTGGGAATGTAGCTCAGTATCAGTGCTTAGCTAGCACACATGAGGCCCTGGGTTTTATTCTCAACATTGAAGAAAAAAAATGTGAGAAGACAGCCAAGAGAATGGGAGAAAACATTGGCAAATCATGTATCCAACAGGAGCTCTTATCCAGAAAATGGGAAAAGTTGTGAAAGTCCTGAGGCTGATTCCTAGCACCTCTCAAAAACAAAAAACTCTTGGAAAGACAAACTAACTTAAAATGGGTGAAGGCAGGATATTGCTTAGTGGTAGAGTACTTGCCTTGCATGTGTGAGGCTCTATGGTCAATCCCCAGCACCACAAACAAAGGATAAAAATAAGCAAAAGACTATACATTTCTCTAAAGAAGTTACACACGTGGTCAATACAGAAAAAAAATGTTCAACATCAGTTATTGAGGAAATAAAAATCAAAACCACAGCAAAACCTGGTATCTGTTAGTATGTCTCCAATAATAGAAAAAGATGGACAGGGCTGGCCACACAAAAATGTTCATAGTAACCTTACTCCAATAGCCAAACAATAGATAGAATCCAAATATATCAATTTATAAGTGTGATATACCCATATAATCAAATACTGAGTGATAAAGAGGAATTAAGTACTGTTAATATGCTCACATGCATAAGCCTTGAAAACATTATTCCCAGTTAAGCCAGACACCAAGATTCCATTAACTAAATGCCCAGAATAGGAAATCCAGAGGCCAAAAGTAAATCAGTGGTTGCCAGGGGGAGTGACTATTAATGGGCCTGGGCTTTCTTTTGAAGATGAAAATATTTTAGGTTACATAGTTGTGATGGTTACACCTGTAAATACACTAAAGACCACTGAAATACACATTATAAAATGAATTCTATGACACATGAATGATATCAAAATAATTTTGGTTTTAGGGGTTTTTTTTGAGACTTGTTTGGCTAACTTGCTCAGCCTCAGCCTTCTGACTAGCTGCAGTTTGGTGCTGGGAATGCAACCCAGGACTTTGTGTATAGCTAGGCAAGAACTCTACCAGAGCCACAACCTTGGTTTTGGGGGAGCTTTAACTCAAACTTGTTTGGTTAAAGTTCTCTGACAAGTAATTTGGGAAGCTGAGATTAGGAGGACTTAGATTCCAGGCTGGCCAGGGGGAAAAAAGTTCAAGAGACCCTGTCTCAACAGAAAAAGGTAATGGTGGGGTGTGTCATTCCAGCAATGTTTTATCATCCCAAGATCACAGATTATGCTGGCCCCAGCAAAAAGCAAGACCCTATCTCAAAAATAACCAGAGCAAAAAGGCCTACTGGTGTGGTTCAAGTGGTAGAGCACCTGCCCAGCTAATGCAAAGTTAAGAGTTCATCTCCCAGTACTAACCCCCCCAAAAAAACTTTATAGTTGGCACACTTTTTAAAAAAAATTTTATTAGCATATATTGTAAGGTGGAGGGAGGGATTCAGTGTGACATCTCTATATATGCTTACCAATGCACCTTGGTTAGGTTTGCCCCTACCAGCTCTCTCCCTCTAGCACACACCTTAATCCCAACACTCAGGAGGCTGAGGCAGAAGGATCATGACTTCCAGGCCAGCATGGACTACATGGAGAGACCCTGTATGGGGAAGAAAAAAAAAAAGTTTGTGGCACCAGTGGCTCACATCTGTAATCCCAGCTATTTGTGAAACCCTGGCAAATAACTCGAGACCCCATGTTTGAAGTAACCAGAGCAAAATAGACTGGAAGCTTGGTTCCAGCAGTATAGAGTCTGCATTGCAAGCACGAAGCTCCATTTAAAAAAATAATTTTTTTTGATTAAAATATACATCATCTGGAGATGCAGAAACCATAAACTAAAACCCCATATTTTTCATCTGAGCTCTAGCTAAGAAATAATTGATTTATTGGGTAGGAAACTTTT